TGAGGTCAGCAGAGTCATGGAGGCTTAGTGCGACGACCTTCAGGCACAAGTGTTCAAGCTACACATACAATTAGAAGAATGTCGGCTTCAGATGGAGGTCCTTAATAGTGAAATCGCCGAGAAATAGGGCGAGATTGAGAAGGCAGTCTTCCCATTTGGAGGCTCGGAGGAAATCACTGATGCTAGAGTTGGAGAATAGGACTCTCCGGGCCGAGCGAGAGATTGATCAGTCCACGGCGAAGGAAAAAAGGATCGACTAGAGGAGAGGATCGGAGGGTTGGAGAAAGACAATTCCCTCATTTGTGATCGGGTGGCCACTTTAGAGGCTGATAAGGCCCAAGTGTTTGCACAACCGTCTTCTTCTCATACATCAGAATTTCCCAACATTCCTCGGGACCTGTATGAAGAATGGATTCACGTCGAGGCTCAGTTGGACGTGTTTCGAGCTTTGCATAAGGCGGGGTCTGTTTCTGCGGTAGCCCTTGATGGTGTTCGTGTTAAGGCCCGTGAGGCTCGGATTGCTTGTGGATATGATCCCGACGTGCCTGGGGCCGACAATGACGAGGGGGATGGGGGCATGAATCAGCTTGAAGAGAATGCCTGGTATGATGCTACATACCCTGAGACCCTGAGGGCGAAGATGATGGTGGTGAGGAGGATCAAGACGGCCTAGGCATCGATGGTCAGGGTGGTGAAGGTGCAGGGGAACATAATGGTAGTGATCAATAGTTTTTCTTCTTCTTTTTTGTGAACTTGTGTATTTTTGCAGGCTTTTTCACGAGCCTTTGTAAGAAAAATGTTTAAGTATGAAATGCCAAGGTTGTTTTCTGCATCTGTTTCCTTTCCTGTGGTTTATTTTATGTACTTGTATATTTTTTCCTTCTGTTGTTTGTGCGTTGAGACATGGCTGAGGTCATCGACTTGTTTGGTCGTGACCCTTCGTTAAATCGCGGCTGAGAACCAATAGGTGTTTGTTCGAACGATGTCGAACATAACCTGAGTTTAATTATGGCTGAGGGCCGGTAGTATCACGACCCCAAATTTCCCTCCGTAGGATGTCGTGATGGCACCTAGTCTCTCAGACTAGGTAAGCCTATCAATATGCGGAATAATTAAAATAAAAACTTTTAAAATCTCAACATCTTAGTACATAAAGAAATTCCCAAAATTCGGTGAAATACAAGTCACAAGCTCTAAAGAAGTAGTACGAATATCTTTATACATCAGAGTCTAATGTGAATAGAGAAAACAAATGTGACGACCCGTTCGTTTGTTCTGAGAGTTATAGCCCTATTTCCCCCATCTATGCTTATCTATGTGTTGTTCAGCTGTATTGAGTTGTATGGAGTTGGTAGGTTTGGGTTCGGAATAGTTTTGGAGTGAAATGAACACTTAGTCTCTTAGTTAGAAAGCTAAGTTAGAAAAGTCAACCGGAAGTTGACTTATGAGTAAACGAATTCGGATTTAGATTTTTATGATTCGATTAGCTTCGTTGGGTGATTGTAGACTTAGGAGTGTGTCCGGAATGTAATTTGGAGGTCCGTGGTAGAATTAGGCTTGAATTGGCGAAAGTTGGAAGTTAAGAAGTTCTTAGGCTTGAATCCGATGTTGATTTGGTGTTTTGGTATTATTTTGGGTGTTCCGAAGGTTCGACTAAGTTCGGGTAGTGATATATGACTTGTTGGATATTTTGGTTGAGGTCCCAAGTGCCTCGGGTGAGTTTCAGATAGGTTTGAGTTGTGTTGCGCTCGTTTTTCTTATGTTTCGACGTCGTTTCTTCAAGCATAAATAATATCATATTAAACAAATAAGCTCCGATTTCTTTTTTTGATTGAAGCATTAGATCCGTATCGTAATTATGGACCCATAGCAAAAAGAATCGTCGAATTTGGACATCGTATGGAGATTTTATGGTCATTTTACTAAATATTAGGTTGCTAGATTTTTCAGATTAATTACGAACTTGCCACTAACAGCGTATTTAAAAATCTGCACTATTTGCAAATATTGAAACCAACATATCTCCTTCATTATAAGGTCAAATTGAGTGATTCAAAAGCCTAAATTGACTAGAACTATATCTGTTCTGCGGATGATCTCTCGGGGTGGAGTAGGCTCTGGTCTGCTCGGTACCTGTGTTTGACTCTGTAACTGGGCTATTGCTACCTGTTGAACTTGCAACATTTCAAAAATCATACGCAAGCTGATTCCATTTTCCTCAATGTTATGGGTGTCTCGAGGTGCAGATCGAGTGCCGCCATGAATGCTATTTTCAGGTTCAGAATGTAGGTTCGCCTCAATAGCCACATGCGAGTTGATGTCTAACGGTACTTCGATTCGAGCTCCAAAGACGTTGATCAGGTTGTTGTTTTCATCTTGAAGACCAGCTTCGTTGTCTCTAGGTAAGGCCATTTGATTTAATCGTTGCTAATTCGAAATTCAATATACTTTCGGAAATAAGCGCAAAATGGCGTGTTTTTGCGGATTCGTATCAAATAACCACTGTTATCCTTAGCCCCATGGTGGGTGCCAAACTGTTTACCCGAAAATCGGATAAAGTTGAATTTGTACATGGTTCTAAAGATATGTGGTATAGCTTAATACAAATCGTAAGGATAAATAGAATCTTAAATACGGATACTAAATAAACAAGGTTGGAAAGAAGATAATTTTTAGGAATAAGCAAGATGAATCGACATATGAAGCTTAAAGGAATAACTCTTCAGTATTATGATGCTTTTGTTCCCATGTAAGCCAAGAAAAACTTGCCCCTTATAGAAATAATAACCATCCCCTTTATAGTAGAGGGATCTTACTTTAGATATAATTAAAAATACATAGTGGGAGACCCATGATAAATCAGCATTTCCATAATTCCTGCCAAGATTCTCTCCTCTAGTGAAACTAAGTGCTTACGAGTGCAATTCCAAACCTCAGGGAAACCATGGACGTTGGCTACCACGTCTTCGTTTCTAACAAAAAAGTAGTTTAACCAAACTTGGCGATTAGCATTATCGTCCATCTTCACCACCAGGCACTTGCCTCCTCGGTGGCGACGGTTTAACATTGTCCCCCTGTAAAAGCTAGGGGCGAACAGGTGTATCAAATGCCAAAGTGAGAGCTCGACCCCAGCCAGCTCGACAAATTTAGTGAGCATCCTTGTAAGCTTGTAGAGGTATGAGGCGAGCTGGGCTGGGCAGACGCCGTAATAACGGCAAAATTCCTCCGCCAGCGGAAGGAGAGGTAGAGTGTCGCCGACTTGGAAGGGGTAGGCATAGAAGGCACAGTATCTAGGATGATGAACCTGCATCGTATCCCACCCAGCCAGGATTAATTCGAGGTGATCGGGGATGCCGTACTTACCCCTAAGTTCTCCCAATTCATTATCTGTCATCACTGACCGAAAGGCCCCAGGGTCGACATCAGTGGACTTCGAGAAATCAGACCTGATGTCAGGATTGCGAGGAATTATCTCCTCCACCAAAGGAAAGCCTCCATCCTCGACGGCGGCAGGAGCATTCCCCTCATGAGGAGGGAGCACCATCGCTAAAGGGACTGGCTCACTTCCCTCAGTAGACTCGGAAGGTACGTTAGTCATGTTTTATCAGAAGAAAAAGAGTATCAAGCAGTAAAGAATCGAAAACAACGAAAGCATCTGGAACAGAAAGTGTTAAGTCACAAAGAAGAAAGAAAGAGATATGGAGTTTCGGAGTAGAAGGTGTAAAACTTCAAAATTACACCCTAGCACATCTATTTATAAGAACCTGGGCACCAAAATCGAAAACGGTTCATCATTACTGGCGCCGTAACCGAAGTGGCAGGTTCAATCAAAGGACGCACGAGAAACGAAGCAACGCATTGGGAAAATACGTCACAATGACACATGACGTCATCTTAATTTGTGGACAGTCCAACTCCAACAAACCGATCGAGAAAATCGAGAAGTTTTGAAATAGGTGGTCTGCATAGGGCCACGTTGCTGACTCACCATGACCACCACGACCTGAACTGCTCGCTCAATTATTTCTACCATAACGAGCAAATCCGCTCATCGACCCCGCCTGAAGCCGGTCTCAATAAGCGGAGGGATTAACTGTATGGCAAAATCTATCTCTAGAGTACCTAAGCCAAGATAATATTATGGGAAGGATTCTCGAGTCGAGGTTAGTCAAAGTGACCCAAGAAGCAGCAAAGTCCTTGGCCGAATTATCGACATGAGCCATAGTCGAGATGTCTACAAGGGTCGAGGTCGAGATTGAATATTGATGATTAGAGTTGTAACGGCTAGTTTGTCAAGATATGATATTAAAGGGGAATATTCTATACACATGTACTATTAGGGCTTCTTAGGAACATGTCCCATATATATAGAAAAAAGAGATAATGATAGGAGCATGTGATATTCATTTGTAAGAACACACTTTGACAAAAAGATTCTCTCTCTCTTACTAAGATACGAACACCACCTTTTCACTGAGATTCTTGTCTATATTATTCCATACTTTTTCATCTGATCCGAGAATAACTCGAACATTCAAGGTTTTATCTGTCACTCATCATTGTTAGGAGGAACAACCATCTAGTTCATCATTTATTGGATGAATCATTGATCTCATTTACTTAAATATCATATATTGTTATTTATTGCTATTAAATGCTACATTATTGCTCATGCTTTTTGGAATAGCTATTGCCTATTGTTATCACTATTCGACAAAATCCATCTAATATTTATTGCACCCTCGGAAGCTACATCTAGAAATATTATTATTAACTAAGTTTAACCCATAATTATATAAATTTAATTATTTGAAGCTGTTTAACTTCATATATGCACCCTTTGAATCCACATGACCTGTTTCTGAAGATAATTACGGTATGTCGCATCCAACTGAGACACATGGGAGAATGAAGATTTTTTTGTTAATAATGTAACCCTAAGCCACTATTAAAATATAACCAAAAATAAACAGCAATATAAAAATAAGTTGTTACAAAAGTTCAAGACGACATAAAATTCACTTTCTCAATTTTCAAAAACTTGTTCTTGAAAACATGCAGGGAGAGTCAACATATATCACTCGAAGAGTCAGGGCGAGGGAGACTTAAAATCACACAAAGCAAGGATGTATAGGGGCATACATACATTGCACTCTTTCTCATTATACTCTTGGATAGCACAGTTAGCCAGTTCAATCAGTACCCCATAGTCGTTGTGGAACTTGAAATCCAGATATGGTGTTATTGGAACAGTCGGACCGGGACAGTCAACAAATTCAAAACCCTGTCAAACAAGCCAACAACGATGAAACCTATCCGCCAAACTGGAAGAAAGAAGAGGGATTATAATGGAATTGGACAAATCTATCCAATTAAAATAAATAAATTCAAATACAGGAAAGTAAAATAATGTCATAGGAATACAAACATAATAAGAATACAAACATTCGTCTAAATCATATTTCATGGAGAATGAAACCTATTATCAGGGGGGGAAAGGAATAGAAATAACAGGCTTTTACGGCTTGTTTGGATGGTTGTTACCTATCGTATCGTATCATATCGTTTGGATAGTTGTTACATATTATTTCGTAATGTACCGTATTGTATTGTTTTGAGAATGAAATATTTAGATAGATTGTATCGTTTGTCATCATTTTATAATGTCACACACCCACAATATGAAGAATAAATTTGTAATATTACAAAAAAAATAAGGTAAAAGGTAGAATTATTATATAAAAAAAATAGAGTAAAAAATAAAATAGGATTATTTAATAAAAAAGAATACCAGGATGAGGAAAAAAAGTAAGGTAACGACACGACCACACTAATAAGTAACAATCAAAACAATTATTATATTAGCATTACATGAATCATAGGCTTTTCAATTAGCGGTAAGCAAAAAAATACATGTATAAATCCATGACATATAAATAAAGCACATGAATCAAAGGGTTGACCAAAAATTGAATGACAGAACTTTAATAGGAAAACGAGAGAAAGGGAGCAAACATTGGATTCTTCAGTTTGATGGTGGTAGTTGAACCAAATTTGTTCAAGAGCAAGGCGATGATCTTCAGGCAAATCATCATCATCAGAGAGGTAATAAGAATAATCGGGGGTTGGATTTAGATTGCAAACGCAGCATCCTCCTCCTGGGTGACAAAGCTGCGGAAGATCCATCTGAATGCATGGAGAAATGAAATCCTAATGGTGGCTGAGAGATGAGCCTTTGCACACACTCTCTTTATACCAACTTTACCTTTAAAATTGGGGAAATAAAAAAGACGGAGTTATGGCCTGTGTTTTGAAACGGCGCAAAGACGGAGTTGTGGCTTGCATTTTGAAACGACGCTTTTATTCCTCTTTCATTGTTCTTAACGGAAGTACATGTAATTGAGTATTCAGAAAAGGTGCCTTTTTGAATTAAGTGTTGTATTAAAATGAGAGGATAAATCTTTAAAAAAAGAGATAATAGATAAATCTTTTTCCTGGCAAGGTGCCAAGTCACCTTTTTTAGGCCCTCAATTATAGATATATATAGATATATAGATCGTGGGAACAAATCCAGCATCGTCTTGCTTCCTAATTCTTCATGTGGCAAGTTGCCAATTCATAAAAAGATTTTCTTTGGAAATGAATATAATTTGCACAACTTTACCATGTTTGTTTGGCTTATAGTATAAGAAAATTGTAATCTCCGTATAAAAATTCTCATTACTTGTATAGCGTTTGATTTTTGCGAGATAAGATTTTCCATACCTACAATTTTCATGAAGTTAATATATCGTATTATTTTCGACATTAGACACCGCATAGGATATTTACACAGTTTATCACAGATTTAAACGTTATATTACTTGAAAAATAAATATCGGTATAGTAACTTACACACACACATTCATATATATATATATATATATATATATATATATATATGTCACGCCCGACCTCGAGGAGCGCGATCGACGCTCAACCGAGATAACCCGGTCGAGCAAACTTGTACAATACCTTCTACCCGAACTCACTCATGAATAAAGAGGAGATATATTTCATTAATTAGACAACGAGGAGGATCATGTGAACAACACCAATTCGTTATCATTAGTTACATCGTTTATAAGTTTCAAAATACATACACTTTCATAGTTTGAAGTGGAACAAGCGGTACAAATACAACATTACTAGTTTGACCTTCGCAGCACCAATATACAACCCACATTATGTCTACAGAGCCTCTAATAGATACAAAAGAGTACTATGATAGTGCCGGCAACAAAACCCCGGCTATATCTCAAAACATAATACACATAGGACAAAAGATACACGACCCCAAAATGAAGTGGGGCTCACCAAGTCAGTTGGAAAGAGGGTGTACCGCTATCACTGATCAACGCCGCATGCTGTGGAACCACCTGCATCCATTAAAGATGCAGCGCCCCCGACAAAAAGGGGCGTTAGTACATATGGAATAGTACTAGTATGTATGACTAAACACCCTCTCATTAGAACAGATAACAATACAAGGAAGAACAGTCATAAAATCAATGGAAGCCTCAAGCAATACTAAAACATCAAGTTAGGAGCAAGAGTAGTTTTCAAGTAAATTTCCATTATTTTAGGTTGGGAGATCTTAGCACCGATATACCATCGTGATATTAGCACGGAGTCCGATCACGGCCCGATCGGCTAGGCCGTCTCACCCAAAGACATCAACCACAATCACAATCACTATCACGATTTCAATCATTATCTAAATCACAATTTCAAGCACAATCACCACCATGTGTGCGGTATGGCATCCAATCACGACCCGACCGGCTAGACCGTCTCACCACAATGTGTGTGGATCGACATCACCCTTTTCTAGCAATTATCCCATCCCAATAAAGGGGAATATTCTCATCACATTAATCTCATCTCAAATAGGGAAATAATCACAATTCACTCCTACATTGGTACGTTTAGTTTCGGGGTTAGGCTATTTCAACCTACCCTTCCTCGGTGACTAACGATACTCCCAAAGTGTTTATTATTTAAAGGATTTACAATGCATTTCAACATCTTTTACACGTTTCTCAGTTTCATTGGCACTAGTGGCTCAAATGTAATATCATTCTTGACACGTTGGTCGTATTTCATATTTCATGCTCACCTCTTCACTTTCAAACATCATCACGGATCATAAACAACAAAGCATTTCTATTCAAGACTTTGAGTACGCGTGTGAGCAAATAAAAGTCTTAAGCACATTGAGATTTCTACACAATTTGGCATAATAGCTTTCATTTGAAACACAACTTGAAGTCATAACATTTAGATACGCAACCCATACTTTGAACACATTCTCAAATAGTAACATAATATGACAAGAGCATTTGGAATATATATTGAACATATATCTTTTGAAACAAAGCTTTCTCAGAATAGTCAAGGTATAATGAATAACTCGAGACATACAAGGACATCAATTCTAAGAGAGAAGTTTAGCCAACATACCTCGCTTTGAGCTTCCTTAAATTACTACAATCTTTCGGAAATCTTAGCAACTTCGATCTATTTAGAAACATAACAAAATTGAACACAAATTAGGAAGGAGTTCATGGTTCCAGCTCATTTGAGCATTTTATCAAGCACTAGGTGGACATTATGATTTCAAGGTCCTCCTATGATGGATTCCTTCATCTCACTGCCCAAAGTCTACCCAAATGAGCTCAACAATCTTCACACAAATCTTAATATTATATTGTATGCATAATGAACAACTCCCACACCCAAGAATTGCTTTTCTCATTACCTATTTTCAATTAAATCCCAAAATTAAAGGCTAGGGAGTAGAATCTTACCTCTAGGACGAAGACCTAGTGAGTTTTCCTTGTGAATTCTCCAACTTTTGAGCAAGAATTGATGAACAATAAGCTTAGGAGCTTCCCCTCTCACTCTATAGCACTTCCTCTCTCTAGAAATATCAGACTTTCTCTTTACAAATGGTCCCTAACGATTATATTTCGAAATAGGGCCGGGTTATGAAATTAGAAAAAATGAAACCCCGATGCAGATCTGTGGTCGCATAATGGGTCGTATAATACTTCTGCGGTCCGCAAAATGGACCGCATAATGACCCTCCGGATCTGGGCATTTCTGTGCAGGTATGCGACAGGTCTGCGGTGCGCAGACCAATTCGGTGGTCACATAAAGGACCGTAGAACCTCCTTCCGAAATTTCTAATGCTGGCTTATGTGACGGATGTGCGGCTCATGAAATAGTTATGCGGTCGCATAATGGGCCGCATAATGGTTCTCAAAATTTGCTCAAGCTCTGCTTCACTCTGCGGCCCAAAAAGTAGTTCTACGGTCGCATAGTGGACCGCAGAAATGTCATGGCCTGCAAAATGATTCCTTCAACTCCCTCGGCGCCACGAAACCTCGGGTTTTAGGTAAAATTTTACGGGCATATATATATATATATATATATAGTGACAAAATGTTGGTTTTACACTTTGAGGTAAGATAAGCCTACTCAGCATGCAAAAAACTAAAACGCACGATAAGGGTCGTAGAATGTTTAATTAGCAGGCCAGTGAGCTTGTCACTCTCATCGTGCACGCATAAGTTACAAACATGGTTACTTGCTCGATATTCTGCTCCGAATTAACTCCACAAAGGTCACAAATCTCATAGAGAGAATTACCATTATCGACGTGGCTGGGACCTGCTCTGAAAGGCACCTACATATCGGAAATATTGTGGGAGGAGATGTGACGGCGCAGCTCTTCGCGGATGTTCTCATCCAACTTGTAGGGTGTTCAAACCGAATCGAAAAATCGCACCAAATCGATTAAAAAATTTGATTAGTTGGTTTGATTTGGTATTGAGTAAAAAAAATACGAACCAAACCGACATATAAATATCTAATTTTTATATATACTTGTAAGACTTCATATAGAATTTTCTTTAAAAAATATTTGAGATCCTCTCGTGAGATGTAATATTTAATAGAACTATGAAGTGCATCCATTTTTATTTACTTTAAATAGTAGATTATATCATCACTTTCTTATCAAGCGTTATTGAAATGCATTAATCTCTTTGCTCTTTCATATTCGTATGTCAAGATCTGTTAAATTTTTATATATTTTTTGAATTTGAAATGGTATTTCGATAATTTTAAAATTAAATTGAACATATCATTATTTAGGTTTCATACTGATTTTTATGTCTAATTATTAAATTTGGTTAATCTTAAAAGTGCACTTGAATGAAAAATTATTATTAGATGACTAAGAAAATAACTATCATGTATTACTAAAAAAATTCTCCCATAAGAATATTTTAATAGATCATATGTTTGTCAGTTTTTAAAATTTTTACTTAACATATATTCACTTATCAAAACTTTATCTATAACTTTAACAAAATAAGATTGAAATAATATTCATATAACAAAAAAATACGAAAAAATCGACAAAACCGAATCAAACCAAACCGATATAGGTGTTTTGGATTGATTTTGATAAAAATCGAAACCGAACCAACCCAGTCCATGTACACCCTACCAACTTATATGCAAATCCTTTGATATCCTAGTTTTACGAGCAATTTTTTACGCACAAAACCTTATACAAGCTTATACCTTTTACACACCTTTAAAATGTTTCAACCAAATAAATTTTAAGTTTTGACTTCTCCATAGACCATACTTGACACTGATGAAGTATTAGGAAAATAATATTTTGGAAATTAATACTACTAATTTATTATGTTTTGTGGATCGAGAGGCTAGGTGATTATTTTATTATATTTATTTTTGTTATAATCTCTGCATAGAAGTAGATAATTGTAGTTTGCTTTCCGTAAAAGAGGATCACAGAAGAAGCACATGCTAAACCTCGATAGCTACATTAGATTTCCAGAGAGGAATCAACTCAGCGGTTGGTTCCGTCCAAAACATGAAAGCATATCAAGGGGTAGAATCATCAACTTTTATTTTTTTCTCCAATAATATTCTTTCAACTTATTCTGTTACTTGGTCGAGCGATTGTAATGTAACAAGTACAATCTATTTAATACTATATACGTGAGACTCATATTAATGTTTGAATTTTATTGAAAATTATAGATCAGTGACACTTTCTTTTGTTTCTGAAAAACATATACACAACCTTCCCATAAACATTTTTCTAAGACAAATAGTTATCCGGATGCAAGTTTTTCCCCAAAATAATTTCCCAAAAATTATTCCTGAAAATTCTCCTCCAAAACCACCAACTTTCACATGTCTTCTTTTTTCTTTCACATGTTCAAACACTATTAGAAAGACACTAGTCTCGTTTTTCTATTTGTTTGATACTATTTTCTTATTAGTCCGTTAAATAATAATAATAATAATAGATTTTTATATTTCCTTACTAAAAATCTTTATAATTATAGAAATGTTATGACATGTTTAAAATTATAAATTTCAACATTCTTATAGTTATGCATATACTATATCATGTTTAAAATCATAAATTTTAAAATATTCTTTGTTTACATTGTCAAACAAATTAAAACAGAGGAAGTACTATACGATTCAAGTGTTATTGGGCTGCAAAACAGTCCGAAAATGACCTCAAACCACTCCCTAAAACCAGCTCTTTTCCCACCTTAAAACAACCTCAAACCACCCGAAAAAAAGCTCCAAAAGTA